TTTTAGCCTGATCTAATACTTGCATAATAGCTTGTTTAATGTTTACAGCAGTATGCTGCCTAGTAAGAGGAAGAAGGTCAAGTAAAAAATGTTGTAATTGCCATTCATTATTAATAAAATGAACTGTAACACCAAGATATGATTGCATTGTAACGAAACTCCAAATATCACATGTAATTGATACTTTTTTAGGCTTTTCAAGTTCTTCTAAAATAATTTTGCGCATACTATTATATTTATTTAAAATTTGAGTTCGTATAGTTTGTCGACAAGGTATTTGATATCGAGCATCGAATGTATTTAATATAGTAATAAAATAAGAATTATCAACTATAGAAAAAGGAAGCTGATAGCAAACTATAAAATCTACGATTTTATCTGTAAGTTGCAGATATTGTTGATCTGTTCTTGAATATGGTTTATTTACAAACTTATCAAGAGTGCTTTGTCGATTACCAACTAAATTACTATGTTTGTTATATAAATGTTTAGCAAGAGTTCCTGGCATATTGGTTGGCTTATATTTAAGGCGGCATATAGTACAAATAAGTGATGTAAGTTCATTATTAGTGTCATATTCTTTTGAAAAGTGCTCACAAACCTAAGAGGCCTCTCGCGAATTAAGTATAATAGAGCTAAGTTCGTTTCTTCACTGACACTTGTCAATTCATTAGTTTGTTCGCTTTCTGCTACATCAATAATATCATCAGTTTCAAAACTACTATCAGTTTGAAAATTTTCATATTGAGTACTTGATTCTGACATAATTGTTTTTTGTTTTTTTAGACATTTTTAGCAAAATGAATTTGTTTTATAAATAAAAACTTATACAAATCATTTCTTTTATTTATATAATTAAATACATAGTTTCGATACAAAATTTAGAAATGCTATACAATTACACGCATTAATATATTGTATTATAAAGGATATTTGGCTATTTGATTAAATTTCTACTATACAGCGCTGTATACAGTATTCTCCCTAGAATAGTACCCAAATTAAAATCCTATTATTGTTATTTAATCTTAGTATGGTTTGTGTAATTACTTTTAACCAACAAATATGGCTTCTAAGAATCATTCAAAATACTTCACTTTAGATTTTATCCTTTTCTCACATGCTATTCCTGGTACAAATCAAATTAGCTGGGTACTATATGCAGCGCTATACGGTAATGGCAGCAAAGATATCAAATATATTAAGTATAAATAATTATGCATTATCATTATTGTTAAATTTTCTAGATACATATTTGAGTATCACTATAAATAATTAGACCTTATAAATAAAACTTTTTCACTTGTTATCTTTTATTTTCTCTAAATGTGATCTGTCTTTATACCTATACTTGTCAAGGATCAAGCCTGTAGATACATATTTAAATTCTCACTATACTAAACTTAAACAATTGTACATATCTGCATTGTATTTGTATATCCAGAATAAACAAAATTAATTTTTACTGTAATTTTGTGAATTATACATTGTGTAAATTTTCTGAAACCAAAATTTTATATAATTTTGATATCATGTGAATAACGCTAGCTAAAATCCAAAATTTTAATATGCTTTTGAATATAAAATGTCACGGCTGAAGCTTGAAATTAGGGACCTCAATTTAAAAATATAAACCCTACCAAAATCTACTTA